AAGCTTTAAAGACCTGCAATGCAAATTTGGTACTTCTGGTTTTTTTCAGCGTACAGAATTCCCAGTACTGCACATGGAGACAATTTTGTATGTGCTCCTTCAAATTAATGACGCTCTGCGTTTTCTACACTCCCGTGGATTTATCCACCGTTCAGTTACCTCTTATGCTATTCAAATTGTTTCTTCTGGTGAGGCAAAGCTATGCAACTTGGAATACATGATAGAGAGGTAAAGAACTTCCTCACTGTTTCTGTGAAAGGGACAAACACAAGTAAAGTCACATTTAGTGCTAAATTGTGCTGAAGTGCCCCTCTTGATGACTAGGGACTCCTGCCTCCGAGTCAGGCAACAGAGTTACAGGAGTACAGAACTCCAAATTAACTTTGCCACAGGCAATACAGCAAGTTTCAGGTGGACTTAGTTTCTGTGTTTATAAGTATCTGAAAATAGAAACTAGTAAGAGAAGCAGCTCTTTACCACAGTATGAAAATACCATCATAGGGAAATAGAACCTAATCTTACAGAACAGAGATGAAATTCCTCTTTGAGTCACTAATTCTGCTGCTGGGCTAGAAATAATTTAAGTCTCCTCTTGTTATACTGAACTTGTGCTTACGGAGGCTTACCTAAAATGGTTGAAGATTCCACACCTCGTAGAACTGGTAGTAATTAAGTGCCACCAGTGACAAAAAGAGTATTTCTTTTATGAGGGACGCCATTCATTTCATCTAGGTAAATTATTACATATATACATTTTTTTATTTCTTTCCTGTAGTGCAGTCTGATTAGATTGTAAAGCAAGAGAGTAAAATTGGTAATAAACAAAAATTTGCTGATGGTAATGTCCCGAAAGGAGCAAGAGACTTCCTAACCTCCTTGCAAACTCAATTTGTTAATAAATCCTGGCAATTTCTTGGCTATTTCAGATACAGCTTACTATGAAATGAATAACAAAAAACCCTATAGTTAAATGTGAGGAGGAAGTTACCTTCTAGACATATGTATAAATTGCAAAATAAATGTTGACAGGCTAGGTGGCACCTCCTTGTATTTCGTCTATGGTCAGAGAACGCTGGCCAGAGCTAAATGATTGTTTGTAAAATTCCTATTGGGAAGTTTTCAACTTTCTCTGATTTCTTTTTGAGTCTAAATTTGTTAAAAGAGGTCTTACTTTCGCCAGAAAGTCTTTGCTGTAATGTGCCAAAATACACTTACTGGTGTGAAAATATGACACTTTTTTATTTGCAGGTATGCTCTGGACCGTTTAGGTATTTAAACTAAAAGCAGATATAACAAATTCAGGTGTTTAATTCCAAAAGATATACCTTCTAGTTGAGTGTGCTGTATGTCCCAATTTACAACTTTTTTCCCTTTATACAGCAAAGATGGTGGAGAACACAGTGATCTGACACGTATTCCTGTCCCAGTCCAGCTGTATAAGTGGTGCTCTCCTGAAGTAATCCTTGAAAAAGTTGTCACGGTCAAATCGGATATTTATAGCTTCTGTACAGTAGTGCAGGAGGCCCTGACAGGTATATCTATAGGTTTAGGCTTTTGTCACTAGGGTGACCCACTGAATGTTTTCAATGCAGACTGTGAGCCCCCTAATGTCTGTTTAATTCCCCTGTGTGTCTGGACAGAACTTTGCTGTCACGGCTCATACAGAGTTAACTTGGAGAAGGAACCCTGCAGGCAAAAACCCCAAATGTTAATGACAACAGCAAAGACTACTGGAAACTTCTGTAAAATGTAATCAGAAAAGTTACAATTGCATAACTAAAGCATGAGATTAATGGTTGGTATTAGAGAGATACAATTTTGTGTACAGTGTTTTTCTGCTGTTTATCTTTCCTCTTCATACGAGGACAACAAAACATTCAGTTAACTCTTTGCAATGTGCAAAATGAGCCTGTGCAGCTTTCATCTTTTTCATCACTAAGATAACTCACAGATAACGTGTTGTTATTACAGATAATGTAATGTATGTTATGTATTGACTTTGAATATTTTGACAGTGAAATGGGATAAACAATTACCCTAAAAATTAAACCCTCTGTTAGCTAGTTGGTAATGAAGAATCCAGAGCATAGTTTACAGTGTAACTGTCTCTAGAGATTGCTGTCAGCTCCCTTTAAAGCATCCACTGTTGAAATAAGATAAGGAGGAGATGCCAGACTGGACTGAGTGCTCGTTTGGTTTGTGACGGTAGTTGTAAATGAGGGAACGTGCAGACAATAATGCTTCAGTATCTCTGATTCTTTTCTCTTTTTTTCTTTTTTCTTTATTTTCATCAACATTGATATACAGCTTGTGACATAAAGTCTATATTTATGTCTTGCAGAGACCCCTCCCTGGAAGGGTGTTGAAGACTCAGTTATTAAACAGCTCATAATTTCGGGACAACAGTTAGAAGCAGATGTCAGACTTCCTATGCCCTATTACAGTATCGTAAAGTCAGGGCTAGAACCTAAACAGAAGAACCGCTCCATGAAACTTCAGGATATTCAATATATACTGAAAAATGACTTAAAGGTGACTTCCAGGATTGTAGCTTTTCATGTATTTAAAATGGCAGAGATTTGTGTCCATTCAGATTCAAGTTGTTCTGCTTAAATCTAGGTGGGAGGCAATCTAAACATTGAGCATCCTTTTCTGATCATAGAGACAAACCACCTTAAAAGAGAACGTAGGGACATTGAACTGTCAAACACAATTGTCTTTTACTCTCTTTTCTGTATTACAGGACTTAACTAAGTCTCAAACTGGTCATGCTGATGAAATGTCAAAAGCACAAAGACCCGCTGTTTTTGCAGATGTGAACATCTGTTTGGCATCAGCTTTTAGCTACCAGAAGAGAACACAGGAATTGCAGGGAAAAGAGGCAACCAAGGCTGGTGAGTTTCTTCTAGCAAGATGTCATGTGTCCTCCACTTAGCATGTTCCTCAGTCCATAAAGGTCTAATATAAATAATTAAAATGTGAACACTTACAGATTTTTATGACATAGTTTGAAAATAGAAATGAATAGAATCCAATAGCTTTGGATTCTAGCTACTGCCCTAATTGTTAATGTAAACTCAAGACTATAAGTCTGGTTAATAATTGAAGTTCAGGCACACTGTTTTCAGCAGAGGTGTTAAATGCTGCTCATGTAGTCTCTAAAAGGTGTTAACTCCTAAATGTACGAAAGCAGTGTGTTTGATGGACATCTGGAGAAATGGTTTAACAGTTAAAATCAAATTTTTCAGACAGCTCTGCTGCCCCAAGGTACTCTCTTTTTCCTGAGGAGAATAGTGCTTTAGTGGACCAAGAGACGTCAACCAGTCTACAGCCAGTTGCACTAGACAAAAATTGTGATGTAGCTTCTGAACTCCAGACGACCCTCAGTGTGAGTGAGGCGGATGACAGCCTCTGTAGCTTTGAAATCAATGAAATCTTTGCCAGTTATCCAGAACTTCATGAAGACTTCCTGGAAGAAGGAGCTGGATTAGGTCAAACTCTAAAGGATGAAAAAAGGCAGCAAAAGGAAGAAGATAGGGCTACCCTCAGAGACCTATATGCATCCCCTGGAGTGCACTGTGAGGAAAAGCCAATTTATGAGGAAGGTGGCTTTTCGGAATCGCGTACAGAGTACACTACAGAAGAGGAGGAGAGGATAAGTGAGGCCTCTGACCTGTGCATACCGGCACAGCTGAGAGGAGATGCTGGGAGAAGAATGAGTAGTCTGTCCCAAAATGAGCAGCATGTCAGCAAATGTGTCCTTAATTTAAAGATTGTTCAAAGCATGTTGCAGCAGGCAGCGGATTCCCTGTGCAGAACAGAGGAGAAACTGGACAAATTAGAGGCCACTGAAAAGCAAAAGAAGCTGCTCCAGGAAATCACAATGAATCAGCTTTCTAAGCAAACTTTTCAAGAAAGACACTGGAACAGATCTAATGATACTTCCCAAAATACCAATAACCCTTTTTCTGGAGTTAATACTTTTTTATGGAAGGCTGTAGGTCCACCATCAAGTGACTATATTCCACCACCAATAACATGTCAGGCACAAGGAGCATTGGGTGGAGACAATTTCCAAGCTGTTTCAAAGACAGCACAGGAAATGGAGGCAATTCAAAATGAAAAGTGGAAGGGCTTTCATGAGAGGAGTAAGAGTAAAAATGAAAACAACCATCATGATCTCGGCTTCAGTGTGGTGAAAAGCTTGGATGATCACATAAGCCTAGACCACGAGGTAAAGTGCTGAGCTGGGTGACTGTGTTTATCATTTCTGTATTCCTTAGCAGGTAAAGAGACGTAGTTATGGATGGTGTCCAAGAGGAGGGATGGATCTGTCTTTTAAAATGTATGTGCATACCATATGCATTATATATGGGAATGAAAATAGTCAGCTCAGCAATGCAATAGTATTATTTCTTCTTTTTCACCACCCCCCCCGGCAAGATACTAGTCCAGTGGCTCAGGAGGGAATAAAATCCTGTACTAAAATGGAGATGGGACTGTCAGGGAAAAGGGCAAACGGAGCAAGATTTTTGTTTGTATACTTAGTTAAGCTGTCATTAGTAAGGGCTTCTAAATCATTTTCATTATTAAATATAAGTAGTTGACATGCTTAGCCCAAAGAGAAAGAGAGAAATTCATGTATGTATCTGCTCATCTCACATGTTATGATAGTCTGCCTGCTATATGAAACCTGCTATAAATCCAGGGCAGAGTTTTCACTAGTCTAAGGCCTGGAGTTGTCATCCTTTCTCATGAGCAGTGCTACTAAAATACAACCTAGGGAATAAAGTTTGCACGGTCCAGTTCTTAGTATATCTCATAGACAGCTCAACAAGTAATTACCAGAATGCTTGACGTGTGCTGAGTGATGGCTTGTTGGCCACGTTTCAGCATTTACTCCCATGTGTATCTGTAAGATGCAAAAAAAAGTTCAACTTGCAGTGTCAGAGAGGAGGTGATTCACTTTCTGCAGCAAGTGGAAGTGATGAAGAGAGGTGGTGAGTTTTGTTTGTATTCACAGAAGAGTTAACTCTAGCAGATTCATCTTGTTACAGCCACGGTCAAAAGTAGACACATCCAGGATCAAGGATGGCATTAAACGTTTTTTCAGTAAGCCATCTGTCCGTTTAGGACCCTACTGTGAGTCATTGTCAGCTGCAGAGCTGACAGGGTAACTGCTGCGACAGGGCAGTTACTTTTAAAGAGTGGTGTTCAGACAGATTCCAAATGCCTCTCTGATGGAGGTCAGTGATCCAAAACTGTAACAGTGCCTAAGGAGAGCAATCTAATAAGTTACTAGTAAGGGTGGTTCTCTCTCTGCACAGCCTCATTCAATTCTCAGCAGAAGTGCTTTGGCTTTCATAGGTGTAGGTCTAGGACCTATGTTAGGGGCTGTGGGAGTAGAACAGTCTTGCTAAACCCAGTGACAACAGAGCATATGTTACTTTGTTACATTTGCTGTGCTTTTTAATGTCATCCCTTGGTATTTCTCAAGTATGGGTGGAAAGTACATGTTAAAAGTACCCAGCAAAACTTGTGCAAATTAATGTATCCTACTAGTTGGAAAGATGGGGACAGGCACCTCCTTCAATGTTTGGGTCAAATCAGTCGGGAAAACTGTTGCAGTTTTTAAGTTGATTCATGACCCGGTGGATCAGTAAGGCCCGTTGGTAAAGGACGTACTTGGTTAGAACATAAATATGCCAGATGCTGACATGTGGTTAGATGACCAAGTGGATGAACCCTAGATTGGAATTGGGTTGGTGGTAGGGTTGTTGTTACACAAGTCTGAACTTCTGAATATCTTCAGTTGTCCACTGATCTCCTTCCTGACCTGAACAAAACATATCTACATAGCATTCATTGTCTGTTAGTGTCTGTATAGATATATCATCTGAAGGCAGTTAACAGCTTTTGAAATACAGATTTTAACGTACAGCTTGTCTGGTTAATCTGTAACAGACCTAAAAAACTGTCCGTGCTTTCTGAGCTTCTGACAGCTCAATCTGCTAGTTCTGTTGGGTTCTTAGAACATGTGTGCTCTCAGCCTTTTAATTAACATTAAAACAACTTCTAGTCTTTTACTGACTGAGGAATACTTAACACGATACGCTTGTGCATTAACAGAGTTTGATGAATTTCATAACGACTTATTATAGGTGCTATCCGAAATCAAGATCTGAAATTTACAGTACAAAAATAAGTGAGAAGGGAAGGATGATGCAATCAGAATGGAGGAGTAAGTAAATCGGTCTTAACTTGGCATTAATGTTAGCAAGTCTTAACTGCAGTGCAGTGCATTAAAACTTAACACATTTTGTTACTTAAAGGTCTGTGTGCCTTAATTGCTGAAGCTCTATTAGGCTGTTCTTGGATGAAAACCAAATGAGTAGGATCCTGTGTCTTGCACGTTCAGGGCATAAAATAATCACAACCACATTAAGACAGTTTGGTTATAAAGATCAAGGAATTTGTAGCCCTGTTTTGGAGGATGTAAGGGAGGGACAGCGTATGAATTTAGAAATGGTAGTATAGCGATGACCAGTGGATGGCAGTACAGGCATGAATAACAGAGAATGCAAACTAACAAAAATTGTTCATGTGAAGACTTGTCCATATCAATTTATGTAGGTTTTAAGCTTTCCTTAAAATGGAAGGAAGTGTTTAGCTCTTTTCATGATAAAGGAGTTTACAGGCTGTAACTTTAGCATTTTTAAGTCTGCAGACACAGTGGAACACAGGAAATGCTTTGAAGGTCCAGATTCTGTCGTGTGAACTGGTAATTTTATTCTTTTTGTGTAGCTGAAGTAAAGCAAATGGCCAGAAGAGTGGCCTCAGGACAACTAGAACTCGGCTCTCCATATCCAGCCAGTGAATGTACATCTGAAAGTGAAGCAGAGAGTATAAAGGAAGCCTTTCAACATGTCACTGTTAGAGTCCAAAAAAGTCAAGACCAACAAAGATACAGGTGGCAGACAGGTGATAATGTTGAGCCTTGGGATCTGGGCAGTGAGCATAGATCTGAATCTGAGGAGAGTGATCTGGAGTCTGCATTCAGAAGTTCTGGAGGTAAGGTTGAAAAACAAAAAATAATTTCTTCTCTTTTTGTCTCTTTCCATCTCCCAGCAGATTTCAGCTTCTGTGATTTTTGCTACAATAATTGTCAATTTTGTCTACCAGAGTCTTGCCTCCAGGGCAGGTCAATCACTCAGTCATTGGTAAACATAAATAATAGACTAAGATGAGTATTACATGTTAATAGGTGGAGGTAATGTCCAGTGAGCTTGGAGACCCTTCATCGTCATTGATTACCATGTATCAGCATGGGAGACCCCAACCTTTCAAATCCACGAGTATGCTTTCACACTTTATTTCTTTCAATTGGACTACAGAGATGCTTTTTCTGTAGTAGCATAGTGCATGGTGCTTTTGTAATAGTTATGGATAAAGGAACAAGGAAAGCTTCAAATGCCTAGGTTAACGATGTGAGCATTTAAATGTCATTATTTTTCCATGTTCCTGGCAGACAATGTCGTTTTACTATCAACTCTCATTGATATCCCATCAGTGGGTCAGATCACTCACTTCGTATTATTTTTTTGCCTAATAATTTTGTTCCCTTCTGACATCCTAGGGAGAAGTTGCCAGTCGCCATCACAAGATGAACAAGCAGAGTCTGGAATAGCCATTCATAGGAATTCAGTCCTTCCTCAACAAGTTGAGAATCTCTCTAGAGTATGTATAGCAATTGAAGAAACCTAGGTGCAGCTAGTTATCTGTAAAACAGTTTAGCCTGGTCTCTCCATGTTGCACACCAAGACAGCTGATCTTTTCAGTTGTGATCTGACTAACAATCCCCCTCCTCCCATCCCCTTTATTTTTTTTGTTTGGTTCTATAAACCATCAAGGTAATGTAAGGAGCAGGAGGTAGGTTGAAACTCAGAGTGATCAAATGAAATAAAATTTCAATTTGATGCAGTATTGTTTAACATTTTTGACTAAAATGTATGTTCTTTAATGGAGAGTGGAGAAAGCATCTCAAATGATGATGTCTTTCACAGGGGCATTCAAGGGAATTACACTGTTCCCTTAATTCATGTCCTGATGTGTCTGAAGAATTCTTGACTCCTGATGGTCACTATTTCCTTCCTCCTACTGCTCAGGGAAGTTCAGAACTAGAGGTAAAAATAACAGAAGAGACAGGAATGAAGTCTGTCTCAAGAACCTTGGACGTAAGTTACACAACGTGGTTTTATTATGCTCCCATTTGATTTGAAGAAGAGCTCTAGAAAATGGGAGAATGACAGTTTTTATTCTTTGCTTTTGAAATAATGTCTACAAATAAAGATTCATGTAAAAGTAAGAAAATTCTAACTCTGTTCCTTTAAAACACATACCCCCACCCGAAAAAAAAAAAACCCAGACAACTAAAACCCCACAAACACCCAGACTCCCAAAACACCAGGGGCATGTTTTCTTAATTTGTTTACTAGGAAATTACGTAATCTGTGGCTGAGAAAAGTTTCAGGCAGTTGATAATCTCAGCCTGTCCTTCACAGCTCTATCGATTATAGTACTCAATAGTCTTAAAACAATCTTCATTCATTTCTTGAAGATTTGAAATTATTGTGTGGATTGTTAAATCCAATCCATGCTGTTTGATAAGCTCTTGAAAACTTTGTCTCTCCATTCTGATTGTTGTGAACATCATCCTGTGAGAGTTGTCCTGCCCTTCACAGCTTGCCTGTGAGAAATTGAATTTGCTTCCTTTTTTCTCCCCCTTCAGACCTCAGATGCTGAGGGCAAATCAGAAGATGCTTGTGAAGGATTTTTGCAGAAACGGTTACCTGAAGATGCAGGATCAGGTATTCAGGTTTCAGGTAAATGTGCTCTTTCTTTTGAAGGTACCTCTGAGTCAGGGAGATGGAGTCTTGTTGCACTTACATTTTGTCAGCAGCGCTCCTGTCAGAAGGCTGGAGCTTGATTCTTCAGGGTCACTTGGTCTCTTACTCCTCATTATTTTAGTGAGAGTTCAGGACACAGGATTTTGGAAGATGAGGTTTGGGCATTGCAGTCACTGAAATACTGTTAGAGTGCGATGATTATGTACTTGCTGTATTTCCGTTAAAAAAACAAAACTTGTTTGCAACCTTTTTGTTTTTACCCTAGGGCTAAGTTTAATCTTTTTATGCAACTTGCTATGGTGCTGGAAACTGAATTAGACTTGTATTTACACATTAATATTCTTATTGCTAGAAGGATGTTGAGCTTATAAACTGTAAGAGCTGACTGTGTGTGTGCAGAATAATGGAAGGATCATCGTCGTTTCTCTAGTCTGTTGGCTCTCTTAGCTCAAATTTGTAAATGTTGTGATAGTCCCCAGTGCTTCAGTGGTTGACTGTCTGGCAGCCGTGGTATGTTTATGAAAATGCATCTTTAAAACACATTGGTCTCTTGGCAACGACAAAGGTCACAAGAACTAAAAAATTTAATGAAGTTGCAATTTCCTGTTCAATGAGTTGTGTCGCTTTCTTTTGTACTTGCAAAACCCAGTAACGGGACATTTGTTATTTGTATTCAGGAGGAAAACTACTATTCTGCAGCACAGCGGTGCAGAACTCTGGCAGTAACACGCTAGGAGTGAATCAACTTGGCCATATGCCTGTAGCCAGGTAGATAGACTTATTTTCATCATCACTTCAAGCATAAATTAGGTTATAAAGTGTGCGCTCTATTAACTCTGCTTATGTATCTAATAAATAAGATGCCAGTGGTGTTTTTTAATGATTATCTACATATCATAGTTTCTTGTGAAGAAAACACTAAAAAGACTTTCACAAGTCTCATGAGGTTTTGTCTCTTACAGTGTTCAGTGGTTTTTTCTTTTGCTTAATGAGGGAGCTAAAATAGGAAAAATAAATCATGTATATATTATAATTCCTTTTACACTGATAAACTACAGTATGAAACAGAGCAAAGATAATTCAAGTTAAGACTTCTGTCATCTGTTCTAGTTTTGTTGTGCTTTGGTTTTGGAGCTCAGGTGGCATGAAGATCATGCCTTTTCCCCTCCCGTGAGAAGAATCCGATGCAAGTATGCTCACTGCATCTTGCCTGCAGATAACATTAGCCCATGCTTTGAGACTTGCAGTCTCATCGGTCAAACATGAGGTGTTTATAACCGGTATTTTTGTAAATTTTATATTCCACTAGTATGCAGAGATGTTGGCCAGAATCACCACCTCATGCTGCAAGGGGTGCTTTCACTTAAAGAGGAACAGTCCTCGCTCTGAGGGTCTTTCAGCAGTGGCTTTCAGGCTTAAAAGCCCCTTCCCTCCCTGTAGCTCAGCTTTCCTTGTGTTCCTCCAGAGTTAGCAGCTGCTCACTTTCTCCAAGTGTGGGAGTGAGAGCTGGTTGTACTGTCTGTCAGTGTTGTACTCCCTCCCCTCCACTGGAGGAACTGAGTTACCAGTGTCAAAGGTAGGCAGCAAGCGTGTAAATACTTGGCCTTGAAGTAAAAGGTAATGGTTTTGGTTGCTCCCTTCACTTAGGAATTGAGCTTTTGCCAGCAGGACAGAAAGGACTTGTTGCTTTCTGACCATATGACTAATCCCCTTTGAATACCTCTTTGACCTTGAATGGAGTTGTTACGGTTTACAATGCAGACCAATGAAAGGATGATAAAACAAGGTAGTGATGTATATTCGTAGATTTTTATTTAACTTTCAGTTTTGTTTTGAAACTGCATATGTCAATTAGAAGTTTTCTCCTTACCGGACACAAAGCCATAATGTGCTTAAAATGGCATTTTTCTCCTAGCACCCTCCATCTTCTAAGGTTTTAAGCAAAATTTTTTTTATAAGCTGCAGTCTACCTCAGAGAGAAAGTAGTCCTTTAAACTTTTTGAGAGGAAACAAAACGAATAATAAATAATAAATCTATTTTCATGATTCTCTGAGAGGATTAATGAATATGACCTTTCTTCCCTCATTCCAGTGTTGAAGCAGCACGAGAAGTGATACTGTGGGAGCCACAGGAAGAACGCAAAGAAAAAGATGTGTAAGAACCACAGACCATTTTATATCAAAACTTTAGCAAGTTGGTCATTGTCATTGTAAAAGTTTTGTGTTGATGCAAAACAGGAAGATGAGACAGACCAAAGCTGAGAGAGAGAAAACTATCTGAAGTATTGAAAGAATATTTTCTCGTGATGAGTTGGGAGATTGGTATAAAAGAGTATCACGTACCGTTGTCCTTAGTTTGAAATATTTTCATATTCATAAGTAATTAACTTAGTGTTAATCTGGGTGTGCTTCTTTACATTAAAGTGTTAGGATTCCTTGTTTCTTCTGTCCATATTACACAGGAGAAATAAAATTACTTTAAAGAGCAAATCGTTAGTATATGGCTAAATAAATTTTATTACAAAAGTAGCCTTGTGATTAAGATTCTCAGGAAGAATTTGCACAATAGGTTTGTGACTTACCTAGTAAAGTTAATTTCTTTTTACAGATAATGGAGATTTGCATAGAAATTACTGATTTGGTAACAGTAGACGTCTGTTCATTTCATGGTCTTCTGAGGACAATGTAATCCAGGGTATATCTGCAGAAGATACCGGTTTGCTTAATACAATCCCAGTCCTGTAGCCACTTAAGAATTTTTGTAGCTTGAGTGGACAACACTACCTGTGCAGCTCTTCAGCAGTTTCAGTTTATCTGAGTAATTCTTTTAAAAGTTCCTAAGACCTACATTTAGTCTTAATTAATGGATCGTTAATTTTTGTTAAACCTTGAGGTCTTCCCTTGGCTTTGGAGAGAGTTTTCTACCCAGTGGTTCACGTTTGAAGTTCTTGCCCTTTCTGGAGGCAGTTTCCTGAGCTTGCTTTTATAGGAGAATTATTAAAATTAAGAAATCCTGTAAAGGAAGGGAAAGCAAATAATTAACCTTTTCTGTCTTTGCAAGATTATTGAAGATGGTGATCTTTAGCCTTCCAAGAATTCTGTGGGAAGTTTTCAAAGAGAATGTCTCTCTTCCTTCTGGAAAACTAGATAAGACTGAACAAAATTAAAATTTAAAGAACCTGAAAATAGCAGAATTTAGTGATTCACAAGTGTAAGAAGTGGCTATTCTAACTGTCAGAACATCTTTCAATACTTCAGATCAGTGACAGATATTCAAGATTTGTCGAGTATCCCCTACGAGCACGAGAACTACTGCAGGGATATAGATTGTAAAACGCCCAGAGTGACTCATGCACCAGTGAGCGTCAGCACTCCACTCAGCTCAGGTAACTGCGGAGAGGAAAGAAGGAAGGACCAGTGAATTACTTTCTGTGCCAGGAGCCAGACCTTTCTGCCAAGACTTGCTGATGTAAAAATCATTGATGTGAATCATGGAACTCCATTCACATAGTAGCAATGCAGAAATGTCAGGCTTGGAATAAGTAACCGCAAGAAATGCTGTACCTGTTGTTTGAAATCTTGTTGTTTTGGTCTGGATAGTTACAACTTTGTAGTTAGAGCCTGCTTGGTCAAAAGAAATCTCTAATGTAGAAATAAAGGAGAATTTACGGGGACACAGCTGAAAAAGCCCATATCTGAAAGGTCTCTGGAAGATAATTACTTGGTAGTTAACGGTAGCCTTCATAAATCAGAAATTACTTTAGACGTTTAAAATTGATTTGGAGTGATACATGTAGATTTTAGCATTTTGAAGACAGACAATGTAATAAGCACTTAGTATGTTTTGAGTATTGATAAAGTGATCTCAATGTTTGTTGAACTTCAGTGCTGTTTAAGAGCAACGAATTATCATTTGCTTTGTACTTTTATTACTTTGGTGTAATACAGTAGTCAAAATTTCTTAGTTGGCAAAGTTTTGCATAAATAATGTCTGAGGTTGAACTCCTAGGTAATCAGTTTGGACTTCTGCTTAGAGATCAGTTATGGACAGTAATTTCTTAGAGTTGCCTGTGCAGGTGCCTGTTCAAATACAAGAGACCTTTTTCTGCTTCCGTTGAAATGTGACCAAGATACAAAAAATCCAAAAATCATTTTCCAGCTTTGCTATCACCTTTTTCTTTTCTCTTTTAATTCTAGAAGAAAAAATTCCAGTAGCCTTTGAGAAATGCAAACACTGCCATGGAGTAGCTTCAGATTCTTCCTTTTGTGGTTCTCAAGAGATCTCTTCTTCAGTGTCCAGGACATTCACTACAGCCTATGAGGAGGGAAGGAGCACTGAAATTCCCTCTGTTGCTGCAGGAGTTTTCTCATCTGAATTGAATGAGCCTGTAAGTCTAGAAAATTTACCTTATGCCAGCCATTCTTTAAAATATTTTTAAAAATACTTTTCCTTAAAATAAATGCAAGATGAGAAGCACAGAAATACTTCTAGGTCTTTGAGCATTTTGGAATCCTGGATCTGTTGACATAATGACAAAAGTTCTGATAGATTTCAAAGCAGTCAGTGTATGCCACTGATTATACAAAGAGTTGGCTTCCCCTTGGACCTAATCTTACTTAAATGTTGACCACCATCAAAATGGCCTTGCCTGCCTTCCATCCCTTCCCTGTCTGTTAAAGAACTGCCATTTCCTGGCATTGGATCCAGTAATCTTGGAACACCGAAGTGGTAAGTATCAGCAAAATGATTGGGTAGGAAAGGTATGTTTTTGTTGGAAGAGGAGTGTGTTGATCAGTTGGTCTTCTGGTGAGGCAACAGCGGGTTGCTTATCTGAACCACTCTGAATTCCCAAGTGATTTGTGAAATGTAGGCTTTTGACTATGTGGAGTGGGGAATAAACTTGAATGAAAACAAATATGTGTGCATGTGTGTTCAAGTATGTAAGTTTTCATGTGAAACTGGAGAGTTCTCAAAACTTAGTGGGGGAAGGTAAATGAGTATGTAAATGAGTGATTCCTTGAGGAAGAAAACTAAGGTGGAAGCCTCCATCTAGTTGTTTGGAAGCAAGTAAATGTTCAGAAAGCCCTTGTAGTAGCGGATTAAGTTTGTCCTTTTTATGCGCAGACGTGGCATAATCTTATCAACTTTGTTGTATCAAAAAATTCTCTCTCTTTGGAGTTGACAATTTCCAAGGTCACTGTAGTGATTTCCAGTAATCTTTTTGGAACGGAAGGTGTTCTGGAGCCACAGCATTATCTTAACTGTCTTTTCAGACAGTTATATATAAAACAGTTGCCTGTATGCCTTATTGTTATTCATTGATGGGGTTGTCATTTAAAGATTAAATGAGAGTTTGTTCAACCAGAACAGTAGTGACTGCATTCATTGTCATCAGGTCAGGTCTGTGTCTTTCTGCTTGCGTAGCAGACAGTTGGAATTCGTTAAGCCCGTTAACAGTGCAGTGCTGCCTTGACTGGCTCTGTGGAGATACTTGATTGTGTCACTTTCTTGTCTAAATTCTTATTTTAGGATTAAGTGTATGAAGTACCTGCTTCCATTTTGAGGACAGTGAGAACTTGCCTATGATTACAAATTTTTGATTTTTGGGGGCTCTTTTGGTAAATAGGTGTGCCTGGCTTTAATAATTAAAGATTCAAAACAGAGAATGGGAACTTAAAGAGATGTTGGAACTGTCCTTTCAGAGAATTCCCATCCGATTGACCATGTAGAGTGTTGAAATGGGTAAGATTACATAGCTGACAGTACCTTATAGCTGGCTAAAAGATGAGTGCACCAGCCTAAGCAAAACTTTTTACATATCTGGCTTACCTGGGTGCTACCTCTGTTTTCATATTCTGAACTGATTGAAGAGCTTATTTAAAAATTTAATGGTCAGCTAAGGCTTTAATTAAGGCCTTACCTCATTTTGGATTTAGTATGTTGAAGGGGAGGACTGAAGACCAGCAATTCTTCAGTTTACCTTCCTATGTTTCATTCTGTATGATCTTACACAGGATGGGTTGCCAGTAGTTGCTTCATCCTTGAGAAGCACCAGGAAGGCATCTGGTAAGTCTCTTAACCCAGCCCAAATAGAATGATCAATAAATGGAGAAACAGATTTGAAAACAAATTTTGCAGTTT